TTGAGAAGTGGGTGGGCGGGCGCTGAGAGGATTTCGGCGTGGGTGCGCTTTTTAGACATAGTGGCGCTAGCAATGGAAATGGATGAAGTTAAGCATGTGAAAGAAGGAGATTCCTCGAGTTCATGGAGATGTAGGGTGGATTGACTGGTGGGATACTTCGGAAGCTCAGTCGAAACAATGATGCTCGAAGCGGCAGAAAAGTAAAGCTAGCGGTAGGCCGAAGGCGGTGAGGACCTCTCAGCGGCGCCAAGACGCGAGGCTGAAACGGCGAGGACGCGGATGAAACGCGTGCGGGCGGCTAAGGACAGCGAGGCTGGACCCATAAGCAGTTCATAAGGTGCTCCACTGCTCATAGACCTGATGGTTCTGAGTCTGGCTGTGTTGTTGCTGTGAATAGTGCTCAGTACATCACTTCTCCATATCTGACTGAGTTTTCTTTTAAACCCCCTGAAAAGTGAATTATATAGGTACGGAGCCACCCCATTTCCATTACTCAACCATTTATAGCACAGTTGTCAGGCTTCTCTATTTCTCTCTTTCTGCTCTAACTCGTTCTCATCGCGTCAGAGTCCTTTTGAATGTTTTGAATCCCTGAATTAAGGATAGAACCTGGACCATTTCCTGTCTTCCTATGTTCATAACCAACGGGAGAGGACCAAGTTCGGATCCGAGGTCCCTCCTAAGCATCAACTGGCCACTTGTGTTAGTCTGGCATTTGCCTGGAATCGCACGGCTCTCGACACTGAAACCGTCTGCTGGGCTTTCAGTAGCTGTAAAAGAGTAGCTATTATCGCAGCGCCGGAAGTACTTCGAATAATTAAGACAATCTGCGGTCTGGCTCCCTACGGTCATCTGGGCCGCTCGAGGAATAACCTGGAAAATACACCTCACATCAAGCGGCAAGCTTTAGCTGCTTTGCGGACACGAGGTATGACTCCGTCTCGAGTAATGGCGTGGACGCCTGGGCCTTGCGACAAATGGCCTATGGTCACGCCTATGACCGCAAGATTACTCAAGAGAACTCACGATACTCGGCATGAGTGTACCAGGCCAGCATCGGATCCTACAGAATACGTCACGCTCTGTACGCATGTTTGAGGGCCAGGAGAGGTTCTAACCGTGAGGGTCTGAATAATCCGGCTCTACCCTGCCGCGTGAGGGCCGAGTACTCGTAGAATATTCACACTGCCAGGACATGCCCTCCCATTGACTCCGCGGTTTAACATAGCAATCCCTGCTGTCGGTGGCCTGCCTTGTTTAATCTGCCTGTTCCTATCCCTTTTATCAGTGTAATATTTTCAGAACTCCAAGTGGCACAAGTATCTTCAATCTTCAAGCTTTCCGAGTCTCACAAGTCCGTTTCCATACCCAATCATATCCAATCATACTTCTCCAGCGACTTACCACCTAGCAGTCCTTAAAGGCGGCGAGACACAGCCAGCTATACTTAGCTCTCACAACCTACTTCCAAAGTCACTATGACCTCCCGCCTACCCTTCCTCCAAACCTCGAGCCTCCCCTCCCTCTCGGAGCAAGATGCCGCCGACACGCAATCCCCCGCGCGCGGCAAAGCGATGCGCGCCAACCTTCTGCAAAAACTGCGTCCACCACCTCTAGTCCACGCCTGGGACTTCTGGCACGACCGCCAAGACCGCAAGAAATCCGGCGCGGAAACCGACCCAGACGCCAGCAGTTACGAAGACCGCCTGGTCAAACTCGCCACAGTGACCGACGTGCGCGAGTTCTGGGAGGTGCTCAACAATTTCGATGTTACGGCGCTGCCGCTCCGAGACTCGATACACCTGTTTCACAAGGGTATTAAGCCGGTGTGGGAGGATCCGAGGAATGTGAGGGGAGGGGCTTGGACGTTTCGCGTGCCAAAGGAGAAGGCGGCCGAGTTTTGGAAGGAGATTTGCATGATGGCTATTGGGGAGCAGCTCCAAGAAGCTGTTAAAAGCAAGAGGACTAGTGAGTGTGGCCCCGTTTTTGAGACATGGCGAGCTTTGCATGATCTATTACTGCATTCTTTCATAATGTTCCTGCATGTGTTTCTATGCCTTCCACCTGCTATGACCTCTCATTGCTCCCCGAACTCACTCTCATAGTCCCTCACAGCACTGACGCATCTTGCAGCTTTCATCGACGATATCTGCGGTATCTCGCTGTCCGTCCGCTTCACGTCCATGCTCGTCACCATTTGGAACCGCGATGCCGAACACAAGACTGGCATCGACAACATCTTGCAGACAGTGTTGGAGCGATTGCCGCCTGACCTCGTGCTGAAGGACTCTGCTTACTACTACAAGCGGCACTCAGAGCACGCTGGGTTCAAGGCGCCGGGTGCGGAGGTTGTGGGTGGAGGTGCCGAGGGAGATGAAGGTGGTGATGCGGCGTGAGGGCGAAGCTGCATGAAGGGCAGGAGGGAGGCTGGGTGTAGAAATGGGATATTGATCTGGCTATACGTCAACAGTTATATGTAGTGAGTCGGAGGTGGTGGCATGTTTTCAACTGTTCAAGAGCTGTACAAAGTCCCCCAAACGCTTCACTAGTGTAGTGCATTAAGTTCAAAGGGCGGAAGACGACTTAGTCGTCTCAACAGGCACCTCCTGCGGTCTGCATGAGTGCATTGGAATTATTCAAGTGTACGCTCATCCACCAGCACTAATTCGTGACACAATGCCGAGTCCGCCCACGCACCTCAACCTATCTGCTTTCTGCATAGGACCCGTCGTTTCGTGAACCCGAAAGTCAAGTACGCCATGTCCCTAAGGTATCACTCCACGCCCTCAAACGCCGCTTACCAAACCCTCACCCAAACACCCCCGCCCTCCTCATAACGCCCTCAAACTCCTCCCTCCCAACCCCCGCCTCGACCCCCGCGCCCCCATTCGCCTCCAATATCATATCCCTGAGCACATCATCCCCGACTTCTTCCCTGATCTGATTCGCAATCCTCCGTAACTGCGACAATCTAATCTTCTTCCCCTTGCTACCCTCGGTGAAGAGCGCAAACGCGGCATCGATCTCCGCGGCCTGGTGGTCAGGCGCGCTGGAAGCCTGGAGCAGGCGCAAGGCAGCGTAGGCGAAGAAGTGGGCGAAGGGGATCCAGCCGTCGGACTCGGGGTCGAGCGTATCGAGGATTTCGGGGAGGGAAGAGGGCGGGACGGTGAGGCCAAGGGCTCTAGAGGTCGCGTTTCGTCAGCTGCTGCCACAACCCGTACTAGCCCTGGTGATGGTAACTATTCATTTCCAACAAGGCTGTCCCTGTCCTGCAGGGGCAGCGCGACGCAGTCTAGCAGAACGGCAAATGCGTACATCAGACATCGCCTCACTTCACCGGCTTCCAACACGCCCTCCTTCTCATCCTCGTAGTCGGAATGCTGACGCGCGAACAACTTCCACGCTTCCCTGATCTCTGCTTCCTGCGCGGCTGTCACGCCGTGTTCTTTCGCGAGCTTCGAGACGCGTTTCTTGGTTGGTGGTTCGGGGGAGGCTTGTCGGGCTGGAGGACGGCGCTTGGGCGGCTGTATAGCGGGAGGTTGTGTTAGCGACTCGTGGCATAGAAGGAGTGGGAAGAGGGAGCTGTACCATTGCAGAGGGGCGCGATTGCTGTGTTTTCGTCGGCCGCTGGGAAACCTCTAAAGGCGTATGCGATAAGAACGACACGAATGACGATGTCACGGGAGAAGCCGAGACGGGTTGCCATGTCGGGGATCGCGTGGATTTCGGCGTTCGCTTGAGCATTTTTCCTTCAACTTCGAGCTGCTCTGCTTCTTCGCTCATCTGCCATCAACTGTCGAAGTCGGTGGCTGGAACTTGATCACAACTTCAGCAGGACTTTAATGTACGTTTCAAGGCACTGGCTTCAATGTTCGAGTCCTAAGCGAAGCGAAGAGTAACACATATGGAGACATTTACCCACTGAGCCCCCCTTCAGCCGGCATGGCTAACACAATACCTGAGGCTGTAACCCTCACGAGGTATTACCCCAGTAGCTTCCAAATATGCTAGAGCTTGCCATCTCCAAACTACTAGGATGAGCAAGTGTGGACAGAGAAGCAAGAACGATAGACCCCTTGAGCATCATGTATGTTGGAGGTCCTCCGGCGCGCGAGTGCTCCAATATTGGAGGCTTCACGGCGTGAAGGAGGAGACATCTATGGTTGGAGTTTAATCTTCATGTAGAGTGGAGATGCTTTTCGAATTCTGCAGCTGGCGTAAAGCGTATACGAAGTAAATAAAGACGGGCAATACGCCCAGCCTTGCTATTAAAGGCATCTTTACGTTTCTGGTTCCTTCGTGTCATTCGTTCTTCGTATGTTCCTCATATGTTCCTCCTTAATTCGCCAAAGCATACGGACCGTGACATCCACGAACCGCGAAGTATCCATCTCTCATCTCGACGAATTCTCATCTGCAAATCCATCAGGCGTGTACATCATAATCCGGAGCCGACTATTTACCAGCCAGCACCTGCGCGCCATCTGCTACTGCATCCCCATATTCACCCTTTCCCCCACCACTTGATGAGTGTTCGCCTGCATATCCATCAGCAGCATACATCCTAGTCCAGGGTCGACTACTTGCCAGCTAATACCTGCGCACCATCCGCTACCGCATCACCATATTGCCCCTTCTTCTCACTACTCCCCTTCCCCTCCTTTTCCTTCCACGCCCAATCCGCGTCCGGGTGAATATCCGGCTCCTCGATATAACTTCTGACCTCCCTCTTCCTCTTCCAATCACTCCCAAACCTCTTATCCCTCTCCCCAACCATCTTCTCAAAATCAAACTGGTTTTCGGCTGTATAGCTCGTCATGAGCTGCGGCTCTCCCAGCGGCAGCTTATCCCCACGGTCCACTTGCCAGAGATGATAGATCTTGCCGTACAGCGTTACCACCTGTTCCATCTCCGTGTTCTCCGCCACTTCCCAGACGCTGTTGGGAACGAAGGTGGGTTGCGGCATGATCAGCATGCCGGACTTGGCTTCGAAGACGTGCGAGTGCCACAGCTTGCGCTCGGTGCTGTCGAGGGTTTCGTAGAGCTTCGGCGTGATCATGTACTCGATGCCGATCAGGCGCGCATTGGGTTCGGGGCTATCGTAGAGGATGCATTGGCGGACGTCTGGGGAGGCATGGTGTTTTAGCAGCGAGCTTAGAAGAGGCATAGTGGAGTATGTGCGGCCTACCTTGGTTGAGATGCGAGCAGTAGTGGTTGGCTTCGACACAGCGGCCGGGTTCTTTGGCATAGGCGTGGAAGGCATTGAGATGGGCGCAGATCTGCTTGACGGGTCGAAAATCCTGGCAAGCATCCTTGGTCAGTGTAAAACAGGGACTGCAGGAAGTCAATATACCTGTGTTAAAGCCGCTCCGGTCTCGAGAAGTTTGTCCTTGAGGTGGACGGGCTCTCCGAGAGCCTTGTTAGTGACTGGTATCGAGTCCATCTGTACTGGAGGTCTACGAGGCGAGGAGTATGGTAATGGCAATACTGGTTCAACAACGGAGAGGGCTGTATTCGGATTGCTGAGGGGTGTTGTAAGTTGGATCAAACTCTTCAATGTACTTCTAAGAATCCCATGACAGCTTGCTGGCTTGACGTCATGTTGATAGTATTGCGTGAAGACTGCCTTTGATGACCCGGATACTCGAAAACTGACACAATTCTCCGAAGGCGTCGACTAAGCACTATGTCTCCTTACGAATGGGCATGTACAGATCATCAAAAGGCATTTCCACATACAGATTTGATATGGACCGTTGACGTTTCTGACAGCTGCACGAATGCATGACATACTGCTATTTATCGATAAGCCGGAGGTTGCTCCTGACATCAACATCTCCCAGTAGACGGCCGAACGAAGACATGATCTTCACAAGTCTCAGCAAAACAAATGCAAAAGCTCGATCGACACATTCAGGATCGAACACTGTATCTCCCAGGGATAGATTACGATCCATCACAGTATCTATGCGGTATTCTAGGCAACAGCAAAAAGCTGAGGCGATCCCGAGGGACCACAAACGACTGGTATTACCAGTCAGCCTTGGTAGAGTGGTTTGCAGCGAACTCAGCTGAAAGACGAAGCTCACTTGACATAATATATACATAATGCCTGCTCTTAGGCTGGGTTATGTTGAGCGGCGGACGGAATGTTCGACACCAACCTTCGATCACTGTGGACCTGAGCATATGTATGTTAAACCACAACCGCTCCAGGTAAGGCGCAGATGTAGCTCCACGATATTGAGGAAGAGTGTCACAATTTCAAGTTGAAGGGAAGTTTGAGGCAAAAATCACGTTCAAGGACGCACTGGTAAAGAAGGATTTTGATATTGATTTTATGCTATGCTGCACGCCCTCGCTATGCCTGAGCCTTCGGGTCGTCTGAGCCGGGGCTATCCAATAGATAGAGAAAGAAACCAAGCGTCCTGTATCATCACGGTCCCAACAGAGCGGCAGTGATACCCAAGTCTACAGAGCCCCACGCTATGCTTGAGAAAGTCAGAGATGCTGCGCTCCAAGCTCGATGAGCTAGGAAGCCTTCTTCTTCTTGACACGCATCCTCTTCAGGTTTTTCCTCCGAATCTCCCGCTCGATACGCCTGACCTCCAGAAACTCTTCCCTATGATGCTCCTTCTTGCGCCGGTCTTTACCCAACGGCTTGTTACACCAATCACTATACCAAAGAAAGATCTTGCCAATCTTCATACGCTTCAGCATCCTGTCCAGTATTCAGCACAACCGCCACTCAAGCCATAGGCGACGTCGGGTGAGTTGCTAAAAGATACTAGTTGAGGCTTTGCAGGCGCCCAGCGGGCCCAGCCCTCACCTCTTAGCCTTGTTCAGTTGCTCCATGAATTCCTCAAGCGCCGACCGGTCCTTGGTAGCGATGAAGTACTCCCCACCAGCATCTGTCCAGCTAACAGAGCCCGAGAAGTACTCCTTCGGCTCAACCCTGAGCGTGTTCCTGACATCATGGATGGTATGCTGAGCAATGCGGTGGCTGGTCGGTACGAAGCTCTTCAGGCTGACAATCTTGCACCCCTCCTTCAGGTCGAGGAACTTCAGGAGCAGTTTGTCATTGAGCTCGGGGCTGAAGGCCTGGTTGTTGATCAGCACGACGTCCGCATGCTTCAGCACGTTGTCGATCTCAGGACTCTGCGTGAAGTCGGAATGCAGCAGCCTAATGCCCCCAGCGGTGAGACCCCACAGGCGTGTGCGCTGCATAAACTCCTCCGACTGCCGTTCGGCTGCCCGCGCTGGGTTGGCCATCTCTTCCACGCCCCAGCTCTTGGCGCCTGTCTCGAGTGCGGCTTGTAGGACAACGTTGCCGACGCCAGAGCCGAGATCCACAAAGACTTGGCCGTGCGTCAGGCCTGTTTGCTGCAGTATCGCCGTCACGAGCGGTGGTAAGAGCTCGCCGTAGACGTTGTTTCCGCCGTTCTCGTACTGCTTGAGCTCGCGCACGTTGGATGAGACGCGGCGCGAGTAGACTTGGTCGAGGATGCGCTGGATCAGAGCGAGAGGAATGGATCGCTTCGCGTCGAGGACCTTGGCAATGGTGCCGTCTGCCAGCGCATTGCTGACGAGTTCGTTAAACTCGGCGATTGTGGCTTTGAAGTTGGCGAGGCTGGACTTTCCGGGGTTGGCAGCGCGCTTGAGACGACGAGGGATACCGTTGCTATCATCTAGCAGCGGTTCGCTTATCTCGGGTGGGAAGTAGAAGCGGAGGATCTGCTCTACTGTCGTGATTATGTCGTCGAGGGGTGCGTACTCGTCACTTTCATGGGGGATAACGAGGGTGAAGCTATGATTGATATTAGCATCACTGTGAATATAGGAGGGGCGGGTAGTCTACGAACCGTTCCCGCGGCATATTGCTTGGATACTGCAGCTTGATGCTAGCTAGCGAGTCTGAACCGTCGGGGAAGGCGTTGGTGAACTTGCTGGTGGGCATGCTGGCAACCAGTTTGGCTCCAGACATCATCCGGTCTGCGCCACTGGTATCCGTGCCCTTCCTCCTTATGCTTCTCCCCTTGAGCTGCACCTCCGGCTCGAGCGAACTGTGCGAGCTACTCTTCTGGCGCTTGCGTGATCCCGCTTGGCTGTCATCGTCGCTGTCGGAGGAGGAGTCATCGTCGTCGAAGTGAGGTGTAGCAGGTGACGAGGCTTTGCGCTTCACGGATGGTGCGCTGAGGTTTGCAGACTTGGCTGGTGTGTTGCGCTTGTGCTTGTCCGCTGCGCTGCTGGGGTGAGCAGGCGCGCTGGTCTTGCGCGATACTGACGCCGGAGCTGAGGAAGTTTGCGCGGATGGCTGGTGTGGTCTATTGAGAACAATCTTCCCGTTCCTCATGACATATTTGTCCTTCGTTTGTTTGGACTTGTCGACCTTAGTGTTCATCAACACCATGATGCCGGTTTGGAGTGCTATCACGAAAGAGTGGGTTGAGGTAAAGTGATGTATGTGGGGAGTTGCGAAAAAGCAAGAAAAGAAAGAGTGTGACGCAGTGATGTCGGTCAAGCTGTGCAGAAGCAATACTGAAGCAAGAATTGGCAGTGGTAGAGATGGTGGTGGTGTAGCGGAAGAAGATGTCGAGATGTCGAGGGCTTTTATGTTGCGTCGAAGTTACCTGCAGGTGCATGATCGGTACCGCCACATGAGGTTCCGGGGTTGCGCCTTCCGGGTCGGCGGGCGGAACCTTAAATCGGAGCCCTGCGGCAAGGACACGTTCATGCGCCCTCGCACGCACGCCATCTCCATTTTGCGCCCTCGGAGATTCTTGTTGGGAGATAGATGGATTGTTCTCGTACAGCTGTGGCTGCCTTGGTAGGGGAAGTTCAACACATCGATTGTGCACGACAGATTCTATCTATTCAGTATGATCTAGGAATGCACTCAAAAACGCGGACTTCGCATTTAGGGTACGCAATCTTTCATGTTCTCTTGCAGGGTCTGTAGGCGCCCGTTGCATTCGTCTTAACTACACGCCCGAGCCGTACCATCTATCGCTTCAGCGGTGCAAAACAGAATCCCCCGTTCATCGTTGCCTCCAACACCGAACGCCTTCTAGGGAGCGCTGGTGGTTGAAGTCAATCGCCCCTAAACTTTTTGAGATGAGAAAAGCTACGAACACAGATGCTGGGAGCAAAGATCAGGGATGCGGAGGGAGGATGGTGGGTAAGGCAAAGAAAGTGTGGGATACAGGAGAAGCAGAAACGGCCCTTGTAGAAGGTGCCCAGCCTTTTCAGCGCCAAAAAGCGGCCCTATGAGTATGCGTGCCGAGAAGCGAGCGGAGGAGGGTTATGCAGAGGCTGCCGAAGAAGGCGTCTATGAAGCGCACCAATGCCACGAATGGACAGAGATCATTCTCATCGATGATGCGATGCGGAGTGGGTGTTGAGGGGTGCTACGCTCAAGAAGCAACAGCGCCGTGTCTGCCACCCCTCCGGCTGTTCTTTGGCTTGGAAGAGACCGTGCTCCAGCCTTCCTCTTCCAGACCCTCAGCGGTCCCCGTGGCGTTCGCGGTAGGTGCAGACGGCTTGCGCCTCCATGTGCCCTGGTCTTTCTTGGGATCTCTAACAATCTCCTTTGGCTTGACGCTTTGATCGTCGACAATAGCGCCGTTGGCAGAGTCCTCCGCCTGTTCTTCTTCGACGTTCCCTTCGCCGCTCTTCTCCATGCGACGGAGTATTTCATAGTTCTTTTCAGCAGGTGGAGAGCCTCCGCCGTTCTCCTTTGACTCCTCCTGGGTGCCGTCTTTGCTGCCCTCTTGAGACGCATTCGCTTTCTCGGCCTTGGCAGCGGCCTCTTTCGCGCGCCTCTCCTCGCGCGCCTTTTCGTCGGCCTCCTTCTTTTGTCGGATGGCTAGCTGCCTTTTCTCCTCCACCTCCTTCTCGCGAGCGGCAGTGTCGATGGGTTTTGCAGCACCGAACGGGCTCGCCTTGGAGTCTGAGCTTCCAGAGTCAGCTGCAGGCTGAGCTTCAGAAACCGTGCGCTTGGCGAGATTGAGCCTCGGTCGCTGAGTAGGCGGCGCCGGCGTTGCAGCCGGTGAAGAAGGGGTGCTAGTCTCTGGCGTGGCGCCCGGAGATTTTGCTGGCGCATCGGGCTTCATGCGTGATCGCCACTGGTTGTCAAGCTCGGGTGCAGTAGGTTGCCGGTCGTACGCCGGCCTTTCCTGGAATTCACGGCGTGGAGGCCGCGACCCGTCCTGAGAGCGGCCTTCACCCCAAGAGGGCGAGTTTCGGCGCTCAACGGGAGGTCCGTCACGGCTTCGAAGCCGGCCACCGTCCCGCATTGGTCCTCCAGTAGGTGGTACCGGCGAGAGGGGCCCTTTCCGCTCCCAATTTCCGAAATCGCGGACCTTGCCGTCTCCCTCGAAAGGAGGCGGTCTTCTGCGCTCTCCACGCTCGCTTCCAGCGTCCGAGCCGGCGTCAAACGCCCTATAGCCGCCGCCACCCCTCTCGGAGGTACGGCGTGCGTTGGGAAGATCCGGTAGCGGGCCTTTACGAGTCCAGTCGTTGATTTCGCGGCCTTCAGGACGGTCCTTGGCTTACCAGAAGGTCAGCTCGGTAAGCCAAAAGTGAGGATCAAGCTTACGTGGGTCAGCAACAGTGACTCTAATGTTTCTTCCTTGAAATTGAGTGCCTGAAAGATCCAATGCTTTTTTGAGCCCATCAAGCGTGCCGAATTCAACATATCCGAAGCCCTTCGGCTTTCGCTCCATCTTGTCTTCAATGATGCGAACGCTGTTCACCTGACAGGCGGCAAAAAAATCTTGGACGTCTCCTTCAGTGGCATCGAACGAGAGGTTGCCAAGATGCGCGGTGTATGGAGGCTTTGTCGGGAGCGGGAGCTGTTCGCGCACAGCATATCCGCTAAGCCGATCGCCGCCTAGACTACCTGTTAACTCCAGTCTCTTGCGTGAAATGTTCGTCGTTGGACAGAGCGAGGTGCGTACCGAAACCGCGATCACCACCATAGCTGGGCGCAGAGCTGAACGTGCGTCGTTCTCCGCCATAACCAGTCGCACGGGAGTCTGGATGCAGAAAATCAATGGATCGCTCGGGATGGAAAGTATGTCGCAATGTGATGGGACTACTAACCAGCTGTCTTACTGTCAGCAAACGCTCAACGGGGCAAGCAGGACTTGAACACTTACAAGAACCGACTGGCATATCCTCCATTTCGTCTGCCCATGACCCCACTGCTGAAGGCCGTCAACACCTTTTCTCCATCTTCCTTCAGCGAGCGTAGCGCATACCTTTATCGCCCAGGAAGTCCCCGAGGGACATCTTCTGGGGCTTTGCTTTTGCAGGAGCTGCATTCAGGCGAGTCAGTAATTCTTCAGGTTCTCGAAAAGCCCAGCGATACCAGGCGAAGGGTTTGCGAGAAATGCTCTCCAGCCTGACAGTCTCCGCACGAAGGGAACGACGAACCCATGATTGCGGTAGGTATTCAGTCAACGCGCTAATGCTGTGCGCGTTGGCTGTATGGATGCGTGAGCGTGGGTTGCTTGCAGGTGTTGCGCCGAGTGCTGTCGTTTGTCTGGTGTGTGGGTGGTGTTCGCCTTGAGGTGGTGGATATCAAAGTGTTCACGAAGGGTTAAGTTGCAGGTGCGATGTTCGTCAGCACGGACCTCTGCAATTCTTCGCGAGCAGGGGGGCTTTCAGCATCCAGTTCACTTCCGAAGCCTGCTCCAGTCCCGCGCATCTTCACCAACGTTTTGCACTTCAAGCAGCAGTCATGGCCGAGAAAGACAACGGCATGACCGTCGTGAGACCCAGTGCGATCCTGTGGCCCGCCATGAAGGTCGGGGCGTTCTCCGGCAAGTTGTTTCTGGTACTCCGATGACATCACACTCCCCTTTTTAGACACGACCGAAACAAACCTCCTTTCGTAGATTACTTTCGCTTCGATGTTAATTCAGTCTCCTTTCCAATCCCTATGTTGCACCTTTTCTTGGAGGTCGACTTCGCATGCAGGAGACGGAATCTTGGCCCAAATGCCCTATCACGTGTCTGCAGATGTGACCTTAAGCTAATCTGTGTAAAGGCGCATTTGGTGTCGCCTTCGGAGGAGCGACGGGAATCGTACGCTCGACAGCACCTGGACTCTTTGCCGCCGCCGCAGGCATTCAATGGTTCCTGATGGGTAGCGTCTTCTGGGGTGAGGTGCCCGCTTTCGTCGTATCCTGCCCGTGCTAATGTTCTAGCTGCTCGTGATGCGCAGCTGCATGCGAACGGTATCCGTAACTGGTGGCTCGTAAGGCAGAATGGAAAGCCCAGTTCACTAGCAATCGATGCGAAAACGACGCAAGATCGGATTCGCGCAAGCGCCGTTGCTGGTGCTGTAACTGGCGGATTAGCTGGCGCAAGCCGTAAGAACATCCGTGTATATATGGTTTGTTCTGTGTCTGACCAACGCCATAGGAGGACGTGCAAATGTGGTGCCTGGTATCATCATGTTCGGGATCTTCGGCTTTGCGGGCCAGAAGCTTTACAACCTGGCTGATGCTAAGCGCATCGAGGAAGAAGAAGCCAAAATGTCCCCGGGCTACAAAAAGGACAGCTTCTGGAAAAGAGTCGCCAACTCGAAGTGGAGCCCTATGAAGGTTCTCTCGGACGAAGAGTATGAAGCAATGCTCCAGGAAAAGCTTCTCAGCGTTGAGGCAGAAATCGCCATCATGGATGATAACATAAAAAAGCTGAGAGAAGCGGCGGGCAAAGGCAGCGACTCCAAATAGTGCCGGACACGTTACGATCCCATCAATCCGGTAACCGCGGCCGGAACCGTTACAGTACCAGGCTGGGGCCGACCCGGGCAACAGAAGCTTCCGAAGGCACAGAAGCGCAACCAGCTGGGTCTGGTGGGCTTGCAGAATGAATCTGCCACTCGAGCTCATATCCCTCGCAGTTCCGCATTTGGGACCGACGTGCGAGCATGGACGCAATGGCAGCTGACTCCGATACTAGCTCGCAAGTCGGGAGACCAAGATTGAACGTCCCGGAGCCTGGTCCGGACTCGAAGAGACCGGACGTGGTCGTTACCATGGTAGGGCTCGTGGCATAGTTCGCCGCTGCGATTATGTAACATGCTCCTGAGGAAGACTCCTGTCATGGCGTGCAATCCTTGCGGTTGCAGCTTCTGTCTGCGTGAGCTGGAGGAATTGAGAGGGGGATTCGGAGTGCTGCTTCTTCAAAACCCCTATCTGACAGATTACGAGGTTGCGGACCCGCGATGGTTACGTGCCCAAGCAGAATACTTTAAACGGTATCTCAACCAGCAGGAAACGATTGGACAGGGACCTCCGGAATACCTTCGCGTTGTGTATCACAGGATATAGAATAACTGTTGTTGTGAAAGGCTGTAGTTTAACTCTACCAATACGCACTGCTACACTCATGTACGAGAATAGTTCATGACTACGGCTTTCGCCGTCTCGAAAGAGATTCAGACATGATTTCGGGCGGCCTCCTGAGAGCTCTACAATCCACATGTTGTTTCGGTCTCACAGACATGCGTACCCCCTTTATTCCGGCCAACTGTTTCCTCATGTAAGTTTCTAACCGTTGTTCTATCAAAGGACATAAGGTATACGTCTAGGGAGCGTCAATAGCCTACAAACAGCCCTGAATGAGCGTTGTGGGTACAGATCAATCCAACAATCTGGGCTGGCAGAGAAGAGAAATGTCTTGCAGTCTCCATTGCTGATACTTGAGGGTTCCCAGCGCTCTTGTCCTGCTGAACGTGCTCAAGTAGATACAATATCTTTCGGACTGAATGTCTGAAGGTGAGCTTTTGTGTGACGTTCTACTTTGCATAATGGAGGTTCAAGAAGGTGTACTTGTTGATATCCCTCGAGCCTCACGATCGATAAGTTGAAGCAAGGGGATGCTTCCAGAAGATCATCATGCAGATGCCCGGTGAAGAGGCAGTCGCCCTGTATGCAAGGAAACCCAAACGCTCACAAACGGCGAAGACAAGCGAAGAGAGCGAACTGCGTGCGACCTCGGCAGGAGCTCGACTGATCTCCAAGGACGGCTGCAGATGGAGAAAGCCGTTGTCAGTGCCCATCCGCGATGCTTTGACGGATGGTTGACATGATGTGACGGGTGCCTGAAGATCAGGTCGGGCATTCGGTCGAGCTATGAAGAGCTACGGATGTCTACCTAGGTAGTTTGAAGTCGAGCGCCTGAGGGTTTACGGAGGAGAGCCGGTGGCTGGCAGCCATTGATGAAATGCTGACAACCCCCAGTCCGCGTACCTGAAACTCGGCCCTGGTCTCAGGAGGTCATGTGAGACCGAACAGACGGCAGCGCATTGATGCTGCAACTTTGGACAAACAACCTCATTTTCAAGAGCTTCCGAAACATGAATCAGCACAGCATAAACTGCTCTGATCCGGGTAGCTGCCGGCCAAACCCTTTTCTTCTAGACCCTTTCTAGAAAGGCTGCTGGTTGCTAGCAGAGGACCCGGTCGTCGTGCTAGACACTGTGAGGAGTTAGCACGTCGCGGATGTGTGGAACTGACGCCGCTGCGGGTAGGCGTTCGAGGGTCTGTTTGAGCCCGCGCGGGTTTGGTGCGACATCTGCCAGTGCGATGTCCACAGCGCATGCTGCGAGGTTGTATTGTCGTCGGGCGCAGCTGTATTCTTCAGGCGCAGGCAATCATAGACACTGCGAGTAAAGCTTGTGCTGAGACGCAGCCTCTGATATGTAAACCCAAAGTGCACATGGTTCGCTCCGAGTCTGCCTAGGTACGAGTAGGTACCAAGCTTGCATCGAGATTTGATGTGCAGGGGAAGCCGACTCGCTTACGGCTAGTTCCTGCCGCCAACTTTGCAGCACCTCCGCCCGCCATCCCATCCCATCCCTATTCCTCCCCCTTTGCGGTTGCGACACCAAGGAAACACTCTCTCGTCTCCTTCAGCCAGGCCGAGGGTGTTGCACGACAGCGCCCACCAGCCATTCCCTCACCACCCGCCGACGCTCTGTGATATATCTGACCTGGCCATCGTCCATTCACTCGGCAACCTCACCGGCCCTGACAGCTGACAGCCAATCGCCCCCGGCAATCATCCGTCCCGCCTCCGAGTTCGTGGCTGCCGCAACCGCATCGTCGTCGATCTCGTTGCTTCTCTTCCTCCACAGCAGAGTTACTTGAAGTTCGAGGACCCTGTGCACCGCATCGCATCTTGTACAACTAGGTGAGCAACACCGGTCAGCTCTATGTCTCAGATCTTCCCGTTTCGCGCCGCAGCGCGGTCTCGACGACCTTGATCAAGACACCAAGGCGCGAGACTGCGCCCTCATACTGAGCCTTCATGTGACCAAAGGCGTGGCCAGAACCATGATTTCACACGCAGTCGCATGGGCTGTTTCACTCATCTTTTGCCCGACCTCGCGCTAACTGAAAGTCAACCTCAGAGCATCCATCATCAACCGATCCATCGACAGGTCATCCCGAGATACCGATCACGCACTGCCAGACATCAGAACTGTGTAACACTCAATACCGCCGAGATGGGTTGCGGAATGAGCACAGAGGAGAAGGAGGGCAAGCAGAGGAACGAGGAGATCGAGAACCAGTTGAAGAGGGACAAGATGATGCAAAGGAACGAGATCAAGATGCTTCTGCTCGGTCAGTCGACCTTTGATGCGGAGTCCATAGGAGAAAGAACAGGAAGCTGATTGCCGTGCAGGTGCCGGAGAGTCGGGTAAATCCACGATTCTCAAGCAGATGAAGCTCATCCACGAAGGCGGCTACTCGCGCGACGAGCGGGAATCTTTCAAGGAGATCATCTTCAGTAACACAGTGCAGTCAATGCGCGTGATACTAGAAGCCATGGAGTCGCTCGAACTACCCCTGGACGATCAGCGCGCCGAATATCACGTTCAGACAATCTTCATGCAGCCAGCACAGATTGAGGGTGACAGCCTACCGCCAGAAGTCGGCAATGCCATCTCCGCGCTGTGGAAGGATGCCGGTGTTCAACAGTGCTTCCAGCGGTCACGGGAATACCAGCTCAACGACTCGGCGAAATAGTGAGTCGCTCCCTGTGCTTGGCCTTGTTCCAGTTCGATTGCTGACAGAGATCTTAGCTATTTCGATTCCATCGACCGCATTGCCGCACCCGACTACATCCCTAATGACCAGGACGTCCTCCGGTCACGTGTCAAGACCACTGGTATCACCGAGACGACCTTCATCATCGGCGACCTAACATACCGGATGTTCGACGTTGGTGGGCAGCGGTCCGAGCGAAAGAAGTGGATACATTGCTTCGAGAACGTCACGACCATCCTCTTCTTGGTTGCCATCTCGGAGTACGACCAGCTGCTTTTCGAAGACGAGACCGTGAACCGCATGCAGGAGGCCCTCACACTCTTCGACTCGATCTGCAACTCGCGGTGGTTTGTCAAGACATCAATCATTCTGTTCCTCAACAAGATCGACAGGTTCAAGGAGAAGCTGCCCGTCAGCCCCATGAAGAACTACTTCCCTGACTACGAGGGCGGCGCAGACTACGCCGCGGCTTGCGACTACATCCTCAACCGTTTCGTTTCCCTTAACCAGCACGAGACCAAGCAGATCTATACGCATTTCACCTGCGCGACAGATACTATGCAGATTCGATTCGTGATGGCGGCCGTCAATGGTAAGCGTCGCACCTACAGTAAGCCGTGGTGCATGCTGACTTTTTCCAGACATAATTATCCAAGAGAATCTCCGCATGTGCGGTTTAATATAACCTGGTGCTAGAGAGCGGGATGATTACGGGGGCGCGTCTGGTTAGCAGGGGACGACAGAGGGCCGTGGGCGGTTGAATGTTCTTTGGTCCAGCGGCTCCAGCAGTTGCAACAATCATACAACCGGCGTTCTCGGGTGCGGGGTTTTTCTACTCTAGCCATCTTCCACACTATACTTCCCTTTTTCCTTTGTCCGCTTGCCCCAGTCTTGCTGCGTGCTCGGTGGAGAGCCGGGGAAGTCGTCAATACCAGGAGTCTTGAGAGCGGTCCGGGTCGCGAGAACACAAAATGACCTGCGTTTTCTAGTTGGACGCTGTTTGATAGGGTTTCTCTATAGCGAAGTTCTTGCATCGATGTCGAGTGATCTGCTGTCTGTGTATGTGCGTATGCCGCGGCCTGTGTATCCTCAGAAGCCTTGAGATGACATTGTATCTGTGGTATGCGCTTTTGCCCTCTTGCTACTACATCTTACAGTACCCAAGTCTTGTAGGCATGGAGGTTCCACAGCAGCGCAAAAAAAGCCGGCTCCCGCAGTACCCTACGGAGGATGATCATGATGCTCTCCGTAAACCAAGCTTGAAACTCTCTACGATGCTGCCTTGCAGATTCTCCCCAGACAAACAAGAGAACGTGCTCCTCACAGTCGTCATCGTGCGTTGTATTTTGCGGTGAGAACGAGCCTTTTCAAGCCTGAAGCGGCAAAGCCAGGGTCCCGTCGCTTAAGGCCATGCCAAGATGTCGCGATAGAACGCACACAACGAAGAGTTTCAACCGCTGTCCAAGTCAGTTCTCACCCACGAATCTATTGCTGTATCTTGCGAAAACCAAATTTATAAATTTTTAGGATAGTGTAGGCAGCAACCGCCGCCGAATGAGCCTAATGCTCGGTGTTGAAATGTATCATTTGGCATACCGGACTGACTCACTCCGAGCTGTTTCTGCGCCAGTCCAGTGCGAGTCCATGCAGATTGATAACTAGTGCAGAGCCTCCGCGGCCTCTCACAGGATCACGATGCCTTCGCTGTGGAGTACGGTAGCTTAATCCTGCAGGGACTACGATGCAACTGGCGTTTACTACGGCTTGGTCCCCTTCTTCGGCAGTTTCTGTGTCAGTTTTGGATGACGTCTCTCTTGACCTCCTCACCGTCACTCCAGCGCGAGGGTTTGAATTACAGCTGCTCGTGCAGGGAGTGGTCTGTGTCAAGACGAAATGGGTGCGGGCAACCACCGGATGAGGCTCCGTCTGAACAAGCTTAAAATTTCTGCGGAGACGTGCTGATCACCGGGTGTCCCTGGATGATCGCAAGAAAAACGAAGGGTCCGATGTTACTAGTATCTCCAACATTCATGTGATTGTACCCTTGTCACTCCAATGCTCGGCCACCGAGCGGTTTATCCACGGCTGCATTGGATGCAGTTACAAACCGGCCGGCCCGTCTCATGACGGCACAACAAGCCTTTGAAGACCTTTAGGATGGCGAGCGGAAGATTACACCAAGCACGATTCGGTCGCCTCGTTCTCCTACCCACGGCTGACCCCTCCATGCCCCACTATCAGGTCTACGGTACGTTTTCCGCGGCTGGAACTCCATGCCCAGCGTCGCCACAGACGTCGAGGCGCTTTCCAAGCTGCTGAGCCGTCCTTTTTCAAACAGATGAACCAATCGAGGGGCCACGTTGGCACGTAGGTAGCTGTACCTATCCCAGCTAGCGTTCGGGGGTGCCAGAGATGTACTCTAACATCGAGACTGGGTGTGCAATCTCACGATAAGCCAAACGGTCATGCGATTATCAGACTTGCCTTGCCCAACGCAAGGTTGGGCCCAGGCATCAAGACGATGCCGCTAATGGGATCTTAGTATATTAGCCCGGCCACCCACTTGAGTGCGTAGTTTTTCCCAGCCAAAAACCACTTCGCGTCGCCCTTCAGAGTTTTTTCTACGTCTACCGTCTCCTCCGTGTCTAAACTCTCATATATCCCTGCTACCGAACATGGCACCGTCCGCTATCACTCCGCCGGCCATTGAGGTCAAGTCCCTCAGGGTCCCGGTGTCCAGCATGCCGGTAGATGCGTCCAGCATCGGCACCAAGCGGAAGATCATCTGCTTCTCAGGTATGTGTGTCCAGTTCTCATCGACCACCCGGATCTCTTGCTTCCGTGATGCACGCGCTGACTCTTGATGTTTAGACTTCGACGGCACGATCTTCATGCAAGATACCGGCCACATCCTCTTCAACAACTTCGGCTGCGGTAACGAAAGGCGCGCGGTACTCGATGCACAGATCCACAGCGGCGAGCGCTCTTTCCGGGAGGTATCCGAGGAGATGTGGGGTTCTCTCGACGTCCCCTTCGAGTCTGGTTTCGAAGTCATGAAGACGGCGCTGGACATCGACCCGGACTTCCAAACTTTCCACAGGTTCTGCATAAACAACAGCATCCCATTCAACGTAATCTCCGCCGGTCTTAAGCCAGTCCTGAGGCGCGTTCTTAACCACTTCCTCGGTGAAGCCGAGTCCGCCCATATTGATATTGTCGCCAACGATGCCACCATCTCAGCCGACGGTCATGACTGGAAGCCCGTATGGCGTCACGAGAACGAGCTTGGCCACGACAAGGCTCTTTCCATCAACGAGTACAAGGACACGGCCAAGCTCGAGTCCGACGACGGCACGATTCCCATGATCGTATTCATCGGTGATGGCGTCTCCGACCTGCCAGCTGCTCGCGAAGCCGACGTCCTCTTCGCTCGCAAGGGTCTCAGGCTTGAGGAGTACTGCCTGGAGAACAAGCTGGCCTACATTCCCTTTAACACCTTCGCGGACATCCAGCGCGAGGTCATCAAGATTGCCAAGATCGACGACGAGAAGACGAAGGGCAAGGGCTTGCCGAGCAACTTCAACCCCCGCGCCAACCTTTGGAGGCGTGTGTCGAGCAAAAGGGCAGTGCCGTTGCTGGCAGCTTTCACCCCGAGGGAGGAGAAGATGTTTACATGGCCCGAGACCTTCACCACCCTAACGCCGACGGTCGAGAAGCCGGCTCTGACCGTTCCCGCTGCTTAATAGACGCGTTTGGTGAGGTGTTAGGTGGAGTTGCAGGGTGGATGGTCCATGGTCGCTACTCGAGTTCGGAATCTAATAGCGAAGCTAGTTGTATGCATTTACATGGCGTTGGGCTACTTGGGCTATCTAGCCTCCGATGTTCTGTTTTTGGTATGCATTTGGATACCGCGGCTGGTCTTGTAGAAGCTAGAGTAGAGAATCTTTAGCATCCTTTCCGCTTCCTACCTCGTTGAACGGATATCAAAGCCTCGGCATTAACTATCGACATGAAGTTACACGGAGCGGAGTGTGTTAGTTTCACGCTCAAGCATTGAACTTGCTGCCGACTCTTACGACGACGTTGAATAGGGACCTTCCGAATCCGTCTACATACATAGGAGGCTGTTTGTCTTCCAATGGCATCTGATTGCGGATCGATGAAACGAGGGGAAATGACATCTGTCGGTGCCCTGCACCATCCAAGCCCCACCACCGATCAACCTTGGCCCGTGGCTATGGAAGCTTGTATTTGGGGGTCTCAGCCCCTCTACTATTATTAACAACTGGCCCTCCATTTGCACGCGATCTTTGCCAAAGCTTACGAGCACAAGCAAGCAGCTGAAAGACGGAACAACGAAGCCTGCTTTGAATATCAATTCAATTCCTGCTCGTGGAGTTTAAGCATTTCATCGTTGCACCCGCCGCCTCATCTTCAGAAGCCCCTTCTCGCCACGCTTACCTCCCACACCTCAACCCCCTGGGGCCAAGCGGGCCATTGCGTGTCAACTGCTCGGCGGTTGAGCTGCTTCGTCATCTCTGTAGTTCATTGTGAAGGTGTTCTCTAGTTAGGATTTCAGAATCGTCCTATCCCTACATGCCGCCACTGTAGCGTACCCTGTGCTCATTCGTTAACGCTATTCATCATGCCTCACCGACCGCACTTCAGCTCACGGATAAGCCTTCCGAACCGCCTTATGCACAACAATGGATCTTCTGCGCCCGGAAGTACACAAGGCAGTCGATCCACGAGTCCACAGCCACACATGGGAGTGCACAGGAATGGCAACCTGATACTCAAGGTCAGCGTGATCAAGGGCAGGAACTTGGCTGCTAAGGACAAGGGTGGAACCAGCGATCCGGTACGCCGCCCTCGTTCAAAGATTCAAGCCAGCAGAGGCGTCACGGAGCAAGCAGACTTATAGCACAACAGTATCTCGTCATCTCGCTTGGAGATGCTAGGGAAGCGACGCCTGCCATCGACAAAACGCTGAATCCAGAATGGAACCAGACGTTCGAGTTGCCCGTTGTAGGCGCGCAGAGCCTCCTTCTCGAGGGTGTCTGCTGGGACAAAGACCGGTTTGGGAAAGACTACATGGGCGAGTTTGATGTGCCGTTGGAGGACATCTTCGCGAACGGGCAAGTCATTCAAGAGGCAGGTGCCACCATGGTTCATGCGGGAAGGTACACTTTGCTGACATGCCACAGCCTAAATGGTACCGTCTGAGATCGAGGAAACATGGCAAGAAGAGCAGCAACGTCAGCGGCGAAGTTCTGCTCCAGTTCTCTATCTATGATCCGATCCATACGTCCGCTACACCGCAGCAGATTCTGCAGAAGCTTATGGGCGTAGTTACGACCACCCCTAGTCCTGATGAGGATCAGGACCACGATTTGGAACGGGTCGACACCGGCGCTAGCATAGATACCGACGACGATGACAACGACTCCATAGTGGGATCGGACACAGAGAGTGTAACGGCAGAAAAGAAGCAGAAGAGAATGCGGATAAAGCACCTCAAGAAGAAGGCTAAATTGCGAACGTATGAGTTCAATGGCAGCTCTGATGTCGCTGGAGTCGTGTTTTTGGAGATTGTCAAAATCACCGATCTCCCACCGATGAAAAACAGTAGGCACACTGGCGCGCCCCTTTCGCACAACGCAGAGGTCTAACGTACGACAGTGACTAGGACATCGTTCGACATGGATCCGTTCGTTGTTACCTCCCTGGGTAAGAAGACGTATCGCACGCGCGTTATTCGTCATGACCTCAATCCCGTCTTTGACGAAAAGCTCGTCTTCCAAGTCCTCCGACACGAGCAACGTTACTCGCTCAGCTTCACGGTCATGGACAGGGACAAGCTTTCTGGTAACGACTTCATCTGCCAGGCCAATTTTCCAGTTGACACCATCTCGGCTATGGCTCCAGAGGCCGATCCCAATACTGGTCTCTATGATTTGCCAGACCCGCCAGATCCAACGGCCACCCCTCCTGCCGCTGAGAGTAAGAAATCTCGGTTCCGGCTTCCCCTGTCGCGTTCTGCTTCCGCCACAAGCCTCCATCGACTTGGTCGACCAGGCTTGAGGAGAGAGGCTTCCTCATCGTCTCTCTCTAGCAGTCAGGGCAACGGTGGTGGTTACGATAGACCACCACCACCCACAAGTAACCCTGGCCCCACAAGCGCGCCGAGGGATTCACCTGGCACCATTCCGGCAATCAACGTGGATAGCGCTCCGATCGACCAAGAAGGCCTGAACAGTTACGACATACCGCTGGAGCTCAAGAACAAGGAGAAGTGGGAAGCCAAGCACAGTCCGACGCTCCACATTAAGGCTAAGTACCTCCCTTACAAGGCATTGCGACAGCAGTTTTGGAGAGCAATGCTCAGACAGTACGACGCTGATGACGATGGCCGTACCGACAAGGTCGAGCTTACGACAATGCTCGACACCCTCGGTTCCACACTCCGAGAGTCTACGATCAACTCGTTCTTCGACAGGTTTGCCGATGAAAACGGAGGTGAAGATTATCTGACTTTTGACCAAGCCGTCATGTGCTTGGAAGAGCAACTGGAGAGGCTTGAAAAGAGGAGCTGGCAATCGAAGTACCGTGGCTACAACCCGAGCACGAGCACGTCACATCTATCATCGGTAGGTAATGGAGACGCGTCTGGCTCCGTGACGCCGTCGGCAACATCAAGTAACGGGACCCCGATCAACAACCAATCCAACACGTCTTTGGTACCCGCCATAGAGCAGGACCACCTTGGTAAGGATGGCGAGGAAGGGTTGGACCTGCCAGATGATCTAGGAGACGAGAAGGGTGAAGAACACGTTGTTGAGATCCATGAATGCCCCATCTGCCATCAGCCTCGCCTCAACAAGAAGTCCGACGCGGACATCATCACGCATATAGCGACCTGCGCCAGCCAGGATTGGAGACAGGTCAACAATATCGTCATGGCTGGCTTCGTGACGTCTAGTCAGGCGCAGCGCAAATGGTATTCCAAGGTCATCACGAAGATCTCATACGGAGGCTACAAGCTGGGTGCCAATTCCGCCAACATCCTCGTCCAAGATCGCCTCACTGGCCAGATCAACGAGGAACGCATGAGCGTTTACGTCCGCCTGGGCATCAGGCTTCTCTACAAGGGCTTGAAAGACAACACCATGGAGAGGAAGAAGACCCGGAAGCTGCTCAAATCTCTCAGCATCAAGCAGGGCAAGAAGTACGACGACCCAGCCTCTGCCGCCGAGGTAGAAGGCTTCATCAATTTCCACCAGCTCGACATGTCCGAGGTGCTGCGCGACACGAAGGACTTCAAGAGTTTCAACGAGTTCTTCTACCGCGAGTTGAAACCGGGCGCCAGGCCTGTTTCGGCGCCAGACGACCCGCGCATCATCACCTCGCCCGCGGACTCCCGCACGGTCGTGTTCAATACTCTGGCCGACGCGCAGGCCATCTGGGTCAAGGGCCGTGAGTTCACGGTCGAGCGCCTCCTCGGCAACGCGTACCCGCAGGATGCGAAGAGGTATAGGAACGGCGCGCTGGGCATCTTCCGCCTCGCGCCGCAGGATTATCACAGGTTCCATATCCCGGTTGACGGCGTGATGAACGAGCCGAAGCTTATCGAGGGCGAGTATTACACCGTCAATCCCATGGCGATCCGGTCTGCGCTGGATGTTTATGGCGAGAACGTGAGAGTGGTCGTGCCGATTGACTCCGTCGCTCATGGGCGGGTCATGGTCATCTGTGTCGGTGCGATGATGGTGGGCAGTACGGTCATCACGAGAAAGACAGGCGAGCATGTGAAGCGCGCGGAGGAGTTGGGCTACTTTAAGTTCGGTAAGCGCACGTCCTTCCTCGATAGACTAGTTTAAATGCTGATGCTACACAGGCGGCAGTACAATCCTCCTACTCTTCGAACCCGGCACCATGGTGTTCGACGAAGATCTCGTCGACAACTCAAAGGGTGCTCTAGAAACGCTGGTAAGTTTTTCCGAGACTCTCTCTGAGTCAGGCGCTGATATCATGCCCTAGGTTCGCGTCGGCATGTCGATCGGACACACCCCGGACCGTCCGCCGTACACGCCGGACATGCGCAAGGAGAACCCGACGATGGAGGAGAAGCAGGACGCGAAGCGTCGTATCGAGGGTAGTCTTGCACCTTCGACCTCAGTGGGACCGACGGCGGCGGCGTCGATGGCGGCGTGAAGGAGCACTTAGCATATGGCGGGTATCATGTATAAGCAAACCGATGGGTTATGGGTTGACTGGGGGAGATTTGGATGTCCTTGGCTGGCGGAGGGGGTGAATGAAGCGCATGACATAGAAACAATACGTGATAAGATATCACCGTTTCCCTCACTGATTAGCTTAGTTACTTTTGTACTGAGACAATGCTGTGATATATAAGGGCGCCATGTATAATGCTGGGCCGAACGTGCGATTGCACAAGACAAGCTAAGGGATGGTCGTCTGGTATTCTCACCCCAGCTATAGTGGCTTTTGCTGGTTATGGATGGTGTGTTGGAGGCTGGTTATGCGCGGGAAGCTGGAGTCGTGGCCAGAAAGTAGGAACTTAAGAGAGTAGTTCGACATATCACGTGTCTTCTTTACACGATCTTCATCAAAGAAGCCTCGTATAGACAATATCAGAAACTGATATGCTTTACACATTTTGTGACTTTATCCCAAACCCGATTCTGGGAGCACAGGAGGTTCCACTCCATGTGTATGCACATGATAGTTGCCACGATGGGCAAAGGCCCATCGCTGTCGCAAATATTAATTGTGAACGGAAATTTTGACCTCACCATCCCAGGAGTTCCTGGCTATCTTCGATGGTCTAGTGGTGATGATTTCCGCTTGTCATCAGACGCTGATTACAAGATTTCCGCGGGAGACCGGTTTGTCACGTGATTCCGCTGTTCTCTTAGTCGTTTACTAACAAAATATCACAGGGGTTCGATTCCCCGTCGGAGAGACACATTTTTTTGGCTTTTCATACGCTTTGAATCTCTCATACTACTGACATCTCTCTGGTTCAAAATCAATACATCTTGTATGATAATTCCGGCGCTTTTTTGCTTATGGGAGAGTTGACATGCATTGAGGGGCAATTTTCGCAGCGAGCTTCCTGCCATTCGAGTTCCTCATAACGTCGGCTTCAGGTGTTGATCCCGAGAGCCTCGACCACCCACGTGCCACCGCAGACCTCAGACCTCAGACCTCACACCTCATACATTTCCACTTCATCAACGACAGAGCCTTGATTCCACGCCCTACTTCTTGCACCGCTTGTCGCTTGTACGGTGTATGACATCAACAGTGTCAACATCGCTGTACGACAATAGGTGGACTTCCGCATTCGTTTCAATATCCCGGGAACTTGTTCTATGGATTTGGTGAAATTAAGATCTGTCTTCAACGCTGGAACCATAAAATACAGCATCCTCAAAACCAAGCAAAGGGAGTTTGATCAATCTATGAGCCCAAAGAAGTCGCTGCTGTCTCCGTAGCGCCATCGCGTTCTACAGGCAGAGCATGTTGACCAGTTGCAGGCCACACTTCCAGCCGATTGAAGCGTTCCTTTGGTGACGAGGACCTGACCGCACTGTATCCAGTTTCGGCCGGAGCCGCCTCCAAGCAGAATGGCTATCCAAAGTCTCGTCTGTCCTACACGCGCCGCCTTGCCTCCAACGCCTTGTTCCTCTTCGTCTCTTCGTCCGCGATCTTGTCTATCTCTTTGAGGTCGAAGATTATCATCTCTTTGCCACGGAAAGGCTTGCATGCTATGTGATACAGATGCGCGAACCAGTGGTAGAACGGTGTGAAGGCGACGTTGTACTTGTTGTGATGGAGGATGTAGAAGAGGCACGGATAAGCCCATGGGCGGTTGTCCGAGTAATCCGCGCTATTATGCAAGGTCAGTCCCACTACTCACCAGCATTAAATGCGTTATGATCCACGTACCGTACTGTCGGGAAGCCAAGTCTGGGATCCTTCACACCGACACTCAGACCGAAAGCATGCGTCTCCGCTCCAGGTTTCTTGCTCTTCGTGATGCGGAGCTGTTCGAGACATCCTGGATATCCACATTCGGCAGACTGCTTGATGAGCTCTTCATACCATAACCTGTCTTGATCAATGACTTGGTTTCCCCTCGTAACAGAAACCGCCGCGAACGCAAGGCAGATCGCGCCCCGATAAAAGAGGGCCAACTCGGCAAACAGCTTGCGCGCTTCATTGAAACGGCTCAGGTCGTCGATCCTTGCCTTGTTTCTGGCTCCCGAAGGAAGTCGCGTACGGACGACATTTTGATCAAGGTTCGCCATGATTTGGTCCTTTCGCGTCATCGTGATTGTTTCGTATGCTGGATCCACATGGCCAACGACTTCCTCGGCAAGATCCTCGAGCAGCTTGTCCATGACAGGCAGCCATAGACTTCCTTCGCTAACGCAGCCGAACATAATGGCCAACAAGCCGTACATCCGGCGTAGCTTTTGGTGAAGCTTGGCCTCGGTGCCATCCTTGTCCGAGGACCCCACCGTGAGTTTTCTATCAAAGATTGCTGTCATCATTCTCCGGATGTGGTAGATGTTGTCGAGAATGATGGGAAGGCGATATGCGGGCCGAGTCCAAAAGTTGGCATCTGGTTTCAATTGGACGATCTTCTTGGGCCTCCGGATCTGGCGTTCGAAAGTACGATAATTGAGCTTGAAGCGAGATGCTTCGATCTCGTTGCTACTCAGCTCTTCCAGCCACTGCGATGGGTCAGCAAGTGCGGTGTTTATGGCGCCATGAAGAGCGCGACGCAAAACGGTAGGACGCTGTGTTACTGACCTTGGCTAATCTCTCATCAGCATCGCGCAACTCGGGTCCGCTCATGATCATACTGCCTGTAATGGCTTTGCTCCGTTGGATCGCCAAAACGCCTTCCACCTTGGGAGAACGAACATCAAACGGACGGGTGTGTCCGGAATCGCAGTTCAGTAGAAAGCGTGTCGTGAAGTTATGCTTTTTCTTGATCTTGTCTCGGATTTCTTTCTCGCCCGTCTGTGGTCCGGCTTTCTTTTTCTCATCTGTCTCGATCTCGTCCTGCTCCGCCTGAATTTGATCTTGAGTTTTGCGGTCTGGGATTGTCATGAGCATTCCTGTGGTATCGTCCTCAATCCAGGACTCCAGACGATTGTCGATTATCTCAATACCTTTGTTGTTGAGAGTCGATGCTCGTAGAATGCCCCGAATGGAAGACAGTGCTTTGCCAACTCGCTGTAGTCGATCAACGGTCGTCTGAAAGAGCGTCTGGCGTCGGGGATCCGTGCTCTTGATTACTTGGTCTGTCAGCATTCGCGTCAGGCATAGCTCGAGATCCTGCAAGTGCTTGACGGCTTCGAGTAGAGCTTGGCGCGTGGTATGATGGCGTGAGAGCGTCTCTCGGAGCTTCTGGGATTTGGCACTGTTATCGGGAGGCTTTGCCAAGGTCCCTTCGAGCTTTGTCTGCTGCCGCGCATAAACAGATTCGTAGATTTCGATGGCCCGCTTGGAGATTCCGTGCCTGACTTCATTGCGGCTTTCCCATTCATTTCTCCAACTCTATCTCGCATTAGCGTGATCGTGTTTCAACGTTCTAGACAACAGCGCGGACTCTAACCTCGAACGTCGCGAAGAGAGTATACCTCTTCGAAAGGTGGATTGAGGCCAGCCAGTCCCATTTGAATGCGATGTGATCATGGGGTTTAGGGTTCTTCATGAACTCGAAGAAGGCAGGCTCGCAGGCAAGGTGTAGTGCAATTTCTTCTATCCACGTCTTATTCAAAGCACCTGGAGTACCTGTACTGGATATAGAAGCGGTCTCAGCCGCGGCTTCGCGTTCCAAGTCGTCAGTAACAACGAAAACCCACAACTCGGAAGTTGCAATAACTTACATCTTACCCTTCTGCCCCCTCCTGGATTGGCTAGAGTCTCCCCCTCTGCTCTCGCTCGATCTCGGCCAGCCTGCTGCCAGTTATCAATGACTGCTATTCTTGCGATTTCTGCGGCTGATTTCGTTTTCTTCTGGCCGGGAGCTCCTGAGGCTGTGGCAGCCGCGAGGGACGGTGGCCTTGGGCGCTTCTGACCGGACGCCTTTGGAGGCATTGCGTAACACGTCTTTGGCGCACCCAGGTTCTATCAGAATTGAAAGCTGACGCCGTTTGGTGCCTCTGGCTGTGCGTGTTTGTTGCTGCCGCAGATCGATGTGAAGGTCGGGTCCATGCAGCCGCAGCACGCAGGATTTTTCAATCTCGCCAAGTCAATTCACTCAACCCTTTCAAACTTCGCTACCTGGTTGCTTCACACACTATCTCTGGGCTAGCACAAATAATTCCAGGCAGTGCCTGTCTCATAGCTTCCTGGCCTTTCTGACATCCTCTTTGCACACCATGCAGTCCAGCTCTCCTGCCGGACCGCTCGGTGGCGATCCTTTTGAGAACATCCGTCATAACCTCAGCGCTCCATGCGCCCGAAAAGTATTCGACGATTATGATGAGAACGATACACAAACCATGTTGGGGATGTTCAAGAATCTCTATCACCGCTACGCTCACGACAGCAGCTTACGACAGCTTGGTCCCGGTCGTGGAACGCTCTCAAGCACTGGACCGTACCTTGTAAAGTGGAAGAATCTGATCATTCAAGGGCTTGTCCACGATGAAGTCTTCCAACGGATGGTTGTCGATGACATTTTCTGCCATAGGATAGTCGAATGGAACGCGCTTCGCCTGCAGGAACCGTGGCTACAAGGCATTTACTTTCCCGGGTTCTATGACCTTTACAGCGAATGGGACGCAAGTCCGCTTGCAGCCTTGTCCACGTTTACACGCACGCCTAGTCAAGAGCAAAATCTCACGCAAGATGTCATTCAACGAGCCAAGCACATCCTTATCAGCCTCATACAGCAGTTTGAAGGACACCACCGCGAAGAACAGTATGTCGGCGCTCGTTGACATGGCGCTCATCATAATAATTGTTTGCCAGTGATATTACTCTTCTGCAGGAGATCAAACTGCCCGCAACCGATACAGATCCTTATGTCCTCACTCTGCTGAAGCTAGTCATGGTAAGTAGGTACTCAATCCAGTTTGGCCTGGCTAACTTTGATCAGACTGAGAAGCGTAGGAATAACGAGAGCGCCCTCCTGACAAGCGATCTGCAAGACAACTGGCTTACGCCCGACCTGGGCCTTGGCCAACGGCTGGAAGAAGAGGCTCCTACGCAGCCGCCGGGGAACACGATCATTGATGGCTTTGGCGCAACCATCATAGGATTCCTGAAACAAGCACGGCCAATCACCATCAGCTTCTCTGAGCCTGACGTTCCCACTGATGTAGTTAGTCGCCTCAAGTCTGCAACAGGAGAAGCAAGGCCCGACAAGGTATACGAGGGCGTGATGGCTCCACGTTATGAGGACAATGCGGAGCAAGACTCTTACATCGATGATCCTCGTTTGTATGACTGGCTAGCGACGGTTGACAAGGGAATGTCTTGCTGTACCTTCTATCCAGGATTTTATCTTCCACTTTGCGGTGCCATACGTTACCACGAGCCGGAATCTTCCAGACAGAATCAGTCGTCCCGGCTACATCTGGAAGGTTCCGAAGAGCTGATGGACACACCTTCTGGTACGTCTTCGACGTGGTTCTTGCCTGTTGATGTTGGTTAAAAGAAGGGTAGACTGACAGTGTACTTAGTCGGCAGCCTTCACCATAACTCTGGCCGGCATACATCCGCAGCGCTCGACCCACGGGTTAGGACAGATAGCGACGCAGATGTTCTTGAAGGAGCCGAGAATTACGTGAGAAAGGTCTGTGATGTTCTTCCGTCTGGGCAAGACCATTCTTCTAACTACGGTTGTAGGAATTCCGCACGAAAGATAGCTTCTCCATTGATCACTACGACGCGTGCATCGGAGTCCTTTCAGGGCGTTATGCACGGCCAATCAGCGTCATCGGCAAACCCAACACGCACTACGTGTTCCGGAGCTTCAATCGAAATCAACTCCTGGACAACTGGTATCATGTACGCGGCCTGCTGTACGTCATTCCTAAGTACTACAACAAAGCCCGGCGGTCGTTGTGGGCCAATTGCACACAGACAGAGGAAGACCTCTGCCGCTGCTTCTCTGCCATAGTCGCAGCCAAAGACCCTATCCCATGGATTCTCGGCCTAGAGTGGCTTTTGCGAGACTTCTGGAGGAAGATCGTTCAAGCCTTGCGCGCGCCGCACGACGGTGAAGGTGTGAGACATGGGCCTGTGTGTAGTGAGTTCCAGGCTAACACAAACAGTTTCCGTTTCATCTTTTGAAAGCGCGCGTCGGATCTTCAACGAGTTATGCCTGTTATCCCACGGGATCGCGATCGCTGCGATTGTCACTCGTCATCGGTTCTCCACACAACTAGCTGTTGCGAGCGGCAATGAGCCAGGCAGGCGTGAAATGACGGTGAGGCTTGTCTGGGGATTATCATTCGACAGCACTAACCTGCAGCAGAGATATTGGTACATTGCGCTTCGCCAATGGGACGATATATGCGCTGGAGTTGATTGCCAGGCCTCGCTCCCTCCGTCGCTGGCACACAGTCCATCATTACGGCAAATGCTTGCAGCCGGAACCCGAGAACTCAGAATCGGTGATCCAGACATCCGTGGCTTGTTTTCGAACAACAGAGACACAGGCTACCCTTGTCTGTATGCCGCTATTGTCAACGTTAGGTCAGTGCCGCTTTGAGATCATCTCACGCCGACTGAGTGGACAAGCGCTGATTACAGACATTGTTCAGGGCAAACACAGCGCTCAAGCTGGTCGTTTGGTGGTACTCGCACCTATTCCACTCTTCCGAATGCCGGTGTGCCAACAGCGAATCTATCGTGGCTTGCTTCTAAGCTTCATGACGCTACGAGTCTCAGTTCATCATACTTGCTCTACTGGACAAGGCGAGAGAGCTTCCGTCTTATGAATGAAGCAAGACAATCTCCTTGGGTTCTTTGCAGTGAGAAGACACGCGATCAAGGCTGTGGTGGACAGTTACTTAGCGGAGCTTAATCTTCTCGAGCCAGACTCTATTACACATCATGTACAATACACACACATCACACTCAGAATGCTTTTGCGCCACCGCAGCGATAGAATCTCTTCTCTCTTTGCCAGTGTTAACGAAAGTGATAGAGAGTTGTGCGCCGAGGGGCGTTGTGTGTTTCTTTATCAGCAGAGCATCAGCCGCCCGACTCTCCACTAAATTCTATCAAGCAACGTTGCAGAAGTCCTGGCAGCGTTTTTCGCTGAGCGAAAAACGATACTCTGCAGTGCACGTTCACATCGCATTTCTAGGCACCACACATATATCAATTCTGCTAAAACACCAACGGTGAGTTGTTCAAGCCTATTTCACACAGCGTATCTTAAAGATTAGAGAATACACATTGCTGCGTGCCGTTAAACTTGAGCTGAAAAGTATAATTCGAGGCGGACAAACCTCGGAATCACTAATACTTCTGCAACGTTGCTCGCCTATGAAAATTATACTAGGATTGAGAGAATGCGGTACGTTCAAGCTGTCTTTGAGTTTGCATTACTTTGAAGCTTAATTCACCGCAAAGTGTGATTCAATATGTATAAACCGCGATTCTGCCTGATGTTCTTCGGCTTCGTGGTCACTTTACTTACTAAAAGAGGCTTAGTTGGCACAACCTTCCATCACTTTCGTTAAACAGTGCCCTAACCAGGTCACGTGCTGTCTTTTTTTGTTACAGAAAGCGCGCAGGCAGGCATACCATGCAACGACTCACCTATGCCCGTTGCTAGGTCCGTAGTCCTATAAGCGTCACGCACTACTTAATCTGACTGTCCCTTACTGCGTTTGCATCGCCGTTCCTCTTCGATACTGGATAGTCAATCTTGTTGTCCACGTATGAAGGTTGATAAATGTACACTTCCAGCCGTCACTCCTCACGACTACGATCTGAGCACCAGTGTTTTGCCCTCCTAACCATCAAGATGTGTTTCCACCGCACGCCTTTGCCGCTTACAAAGCATCGCACCAATCCCCAACTTGTCCTCCCCATCCACACTAGAAGCAGTTCAGATCGTACTTGCCACGGACAGCTTTGCATGCATACGGATGGAACAAATGTGAGAACCAATGAACTACCAAGGTAAGGTTCTTGTCGGGTCTGGGCGCTCGGTCAGGAATAGCTCGGATGATCATGCAAAGTGCCAAACTTACTTCCGGCCGTAGATGGCGGTGTACAGGCATGGATGGGCATAAAGCCGATTGGTGGAGATGAAGGCACGAGAACCGTGCTTGCCAACACGGGCTTGACGTGTGCCCACAGAGAAGAGCGTGCGGAACTTGAGTTTGCCCTTAACGGTTGAAGGGTTGGGAAGCAGACGAAGGCAAGATGGGTTCGCACATCTAGGGTCGAAGTCGTACAGCATCTGATACCATGCATCCTGTTTTTGGCGCGAAGAGAATTAGCACACTGTCGGACGTGATTCAAATTTCTGGTGGTGATGCCGCGAGATAGCTCGGCAGAGAACAAACAAATCATGACTCACCAAGTGCTTGGCCATGCTCTCTGGGGTGTAACTCCCGGTCACTTGGGCAGAGAGAGGGTAACGGATGACGATAGCATTCACTGCAGTACCGTGCGCGAAAAGGCATAGCTCGCTGAAAATGTTGGAGAATATGACCCTTGCGTCTTCTTCGACTGCCATGCATTAGCGGACGTATGTTGGAAGATGGGGCACGTACTGGAACCTTGGGCAGCGGAACCTTGAGTCTTGAGGATAGCCTGCCAACAATCGCGCAAAACGTAGTCTAGCACTAGGAGCCAAGGGGTTGGATCCGTGGCCGCGCCTTTCATTGCAGCGATGACCATCATGGTGTCTCGTTCAGCTGCTTGAACCGCAGCTGACGTGCTACTCTTGTACACAGTGAGGGCGGAGAAGAGCTTCCGAACGTGTAACCAGTTGTCATTCATTTGGTAGAGGGAAAAGCCAGTGAAGCGAGAGTCTTTGAGGTCTCGCTTGTCCGCATCGGTGGGCCTGGCTTTGCGGGTTGCAAGTGACTTGAAATCTTTGGCGAACGTTGGCAGCGCGAAGGCTTTATCTAGACTCTGCACATAGATTAGTGTACTTTCTGCAAATATCGTATCATGGCTCGCTGTATGCCAAATGGCACACATATGTACAGCAAATTTAGATGGCTACTAGTAGCTGTAGTGGGTTCATAGACTAGCTTCGTCCTCTTTCGTTGACACGGACCGTGTTGCACACCAGTTTAAACAAACACAACAAAAAAAA